ATTTTTTGAACCAACGCCTACGCAACTAAAGGATGCGTTGGAGCGGTCATCAAGCGCGGATCAAACGCCTCCCAATGCATACGGGATTTTTTGTGCCCAATGAAACTTTCAAAAAATCTAGCTCAAGGTTTTCGCTTTTCAATGGTGTAACCATAATTTTTCCAGCTAGCCTGGGTTTTGGTAAATGAGAATTTTTGATCAAACAACTGTGCAATAAGAGTTGCTTTGGAGCGCAAACCGCAAAAGTCTTGATTAAAGCATCCGCCAATATTCACCAGATTTTTTTCAAAAAGTGCAACTCTCCAGTCATTTAATGTGAAGTTTTGTCGTCTCAATGCTGTAAGAAACGCTCTTGCCTCTAAGCTAGTTTTTGAAAAAACCCTACGCAACTAAGAGATGCTTTAAACTGCCCATCATTCAAACACTCGCCAATGCTCACCAGATTTGTCGAGAAATATGAAACTTTGTGCTCACTTAAATCGAAGTTTTCTCTTTTGATCAATGCAACAATGCAGCTCCGGTCTAAGCCAGTTTTTTGAAAATTAATTTTTGAAAATACAGCTAGGCAACTAAAAGAAAGTATTGGAGCACCCATTAACCGCAGAATCAAAGACCCGCCAAGGCCCACCAGATTTTTTGTGGAAAGTTCTGCCTTTAGGGCATTTAGAGCAAAGTGTTCGCTTTACAAAAATGTGCCAAGCACCTTTCTACCTAACGTAGTTTTGACAAAATTAATTTTCAAAAAACACCTACTCAATAAGAGATGCGTTGCGGCTCCCATCAAGTGGCGAATCAAACACCTAAACACAATGAAAGCACAAGTTTACATGGAAGAAATCGAGGTGTAGAAGAAATGAGTAAGAAGGATTTTTTTCCTAACATGTAGACTTGGGGAAAGAAGCGCAGCTAAATAAATGAGAAACAAGGAAGGGCAACAATTGGAAATTAAACAAAAACGAAAAAACTTGCCACTCTTGATTAATGCGGGCCTGATTTTTCTAGAAAAGTAGATTAGCAATGGCAACTTTTAAAATATCTGAAAACCTGCAGAAAATTGAAAACTCACTGAAGAAGCTTTAGCAATTGCATTATCCATTGGAACTTTGCATTAATAATACTCCTGCTGGTCTCCTTGATTATTCAATCAATTAGCTTTTGCTTTAGCCATTAGCTGACATCTTTTGCGCCTTAAAAGCTTAACCGCTAGGCAATCTAGTGAATATTTTAAAATTCCGAATCTAAATTATTTACGTTTTTAAAACAATGGCAAACTTTGAAGCGGAAGCGAGCGTCTCGAAATTGAGCAAAACCAAACCTTCCATCCGAAGGAATTTTCTTGAGATTCAATTGCAATGTCGTTCAACTGAAAGAACTGAGACAATTATTATATTTTCCAGTTTTTTTGCCTTATTAAACCGTGGTCGAAGCTAACCTATCAACCTTGTAGAGCCGACGCCAAGGAAAACTGCTTCCATAGGTGCATTCGCTCGCGATCCGTTTATTGAATTCTTGCATAAAAGCATTAAAAAGCTTCTGAACAAACTTAATTTAAAATTAATCTTTTCACTTTCTTTGATCGCTGCAAATTTTCATTCAGCCAATTTGCCGAAATTATTCGCCCAAGAATACTGGACTTTGGAAAATTAGAGGATAGATGATAATTCAATTAGTAATGTGCGGCTAACTGAGGTTGTTCTTAGATAATCAAGTTACAAAGTTGAGTTTTCCTTATGGTCGGTGTCGTCTCAGTTTGCGTGGCTAATGAAGATTTATATAATAATGTTGTGAATATTTGCGTGTTTAGGCAAGGTTTTAGATCAATATTCGCATATTGAACGATCACTAAAACTGCTGAGATTTTCGGGCGTAAAGCTCAGAAAAACTCACCAGTTTCTTTAATTGACATGGAAGGAATGTAAATTTAATATATTAGTTTTTTTTACAAAAATCTTCCATCACCCTGATGTTGACGATGTTAAAATAAACCTGTTATTCACTAGAATGATTTTCATTAATACTTTTTTCAAATACGCAAATGTAAACACGTTATTATTCACGTCAAAGATCGCCTTCCCCGGTTCAATGAGTTAAATTTTCCAAACAAATCACCAGCCAACTGATTTGAATTTAATTGGTCTAAGGAAAAATTGCGAAAATCAGCAGTCATTAAATTTTTTGTTTGTAACCGGAAAAATTCCCAATGTAAAAGAATTGTCTCGAAACCTTCCATCCAGGAAAGCGACTCAATTTAGAAACGTGCTGATTTTCATGCCTCACTTCGTAATTTTCAAATCAAACAACTCTGATTGCTCTGATTACTCCTATATATTTAAACAGCTGAAACAGGTAAGCCCACATTATTAAAAAGTAATTATCCGAAAATTACTAATCATCGTTACTGGCATTTGGCTTAAATCTACACGGTGTGATTTACAGAATCGCATTACTGCAATGCAAGTGATTTCTTCACTAAGTAATCTCTACCGGAATGTGTTTCAGCTCGTTAAAATCCCTTTTAGCTTCTATAAAAACAATGGCAATAAATTTAATTGCGTTTGCAACCTACACACATTTACTGCATGAAGAAATGTTTGATTTATGAATAATCATAAAATAAAATATTTGTAATATTTAAAGAACAATGCCCAATTTCGACCGATAAAATCCAGACAATGCCCCATGTGATTTGTTTGAATTTAATTCCGATTTTATTAACTTCTTATGTGTCTTCGATTAAAATCGCCTTTGGTAACTTGTTTAGCTGGGAACCTTTAATTTTGTTTAATCGGTTTCATTGGCGTGCGAATTTTTTGCGCAAATGTGTTACTTGCAACATAATTGGTGTACTTACATTTTAACACTTTTTCATTTACTGCACTTAAGTTAAACTGTGGTCATTTAGTAGTTTATTTTATGAATGAGTGACCAAAACATTTCAAATTTTCAGTGTTTTTGACTTGATTGTTAAAAAAATTTATTATAATCTTAGGTAGCAAAAAATCCTTTGAACTTGGAGAGTCTTTCTCATCAATTTCTCTGAGGGTGCTTGCGAAACGTCCAAACAAAGAAATTATTTTCCACGACTGCCAGAAAGCCCAAAAAGCCCATCGATTTCACGCCTTGGACGTAAAACTGTAACTATTTTGCTTTTTTGCGCGTGGGAAAACACGATCCTCAAACTCACTTGAACAAACGTTGGGTAAAATGATAAAAGCAGAACTCAAAAAAACATTGAACAATAATTTAAAGACATTGATAAACGTGTATCATTCGCCGCAAGGGCAACTTGAAGTAAATAAATGTGCCAAAAGGAAAATTGTTGATGCTTTAACAACTCGACTGCCTTGAAGCCATCTAGAAATCAACAAATAAATTTAGTTTATGTAGATTTTTATTTATTGGGCAGTTTTGAAAAGATTCAATGAAATATGATGAAGCGCCAAATCACTAGGACAGTGTTAATGCAAATAATGTTCCAGTTTTTGTACGGAAATTTAAAAAAACGACGAAACAAAAAATACATCAGCTCAAACGTTGCTTCTTGCCATTTAAAAATAAACATAAAACACTTTTTTTTAAATATTCGATATAAACTCACCAATTTAACGAAATTGCTGTTTTTTGTAACGATCCACCTCTGGACCAACACCCAAAGAAAAACCGATTGATACCCACAAGAAAGTACTCGATCCGAATCGCGCGGTGACTTAAGGAAAAAGTGAACGCGAATATTGGTTCTACGACTATACCTCAAGCGCACCACCGTTTTAATAAGCTTGGTACCCAATAGTTGTTAAGATTAATAGCCGGTGAATGGTACCCCTGCCAAAAATCTCTGCTGAGCTCGATGGGTGTTTCTGAGCTGGTAGAAATGGCGCTCTTAACAGCATCTTCGTTGCTGAAGGGTCCAGTGGACGAAAGTACCAACTTTGGGTACCATGATTCATTCTAGTCTATTCTGGGTTAGTTTGCAGATTTTTTGAGCAGATTTTCGGCATTTTGATTTCAGTTTTTAACTCATTTTTCTTCTCACAAACCCTTAATTTTCATTTTTTTGGTAAATGAAAAAGTCTGGCTCGTTTCCGAAAATAACGTTACTTTTGGCTCAAAAATATTCTTTTGCAGTCGGTGAAGTCGGCTTTCGACCGAAATTCGATTTTTCCTTGGTTTCAGTTTCAGTCCACAAAATTGGTTTTAAACGTCGCGGCTGTTCAACTTCCAAGAAAAAAAGCTTCTTGACTTGTTTGTGCACGCAAAACTTCAAAATCGCTTTTATTTACTACAAACTTTATGGCACAAAAGCTTATCAGGGTATCAGGAAGTATTTGGATCCTTCAGCATTTTGCTTAGAACAAAACTGGAAATTCTTGACAGACTAAAGAAGGTCGGTGAGTCTAATGTTTAGTTCAGCTCAATAGAGAGGCGGAGTTTCTCTTAATGTTGGTTCTTGACAATGGCAAATTCGCTCTCCGCGTGCGGAAGCACATCTAATACTTCAAACAAAATACTTTAAATTTTACGGCGATTAACTCATTTTCAAAATAGAACATCTGATTGTTCGCAAAGTTCTCGACAGATTCACTGTCTATAAGAAAATTTGTATTTGCAAGAGTTTGGAACGAAATGAGCTCTGATTCAGATAAAAAATAATTATTTCGGATCTGGATCTGATCTGATCTGAAAATTATGTAAAATTTGAGACAGTTTTGAGACAGACAAAAAATCGACTTCCACTTTGCAAAAATTTGCAGCAAAATCAAAATTTCACATGCGTGTTTTTTAAGCTCAATGCGTTTATAAAGTGTTTGGGTCAATAATAAGAAAGAAATCGTCCGCTAAAGATCGTGAACGCTAAAAACAATTAAAATGTGCCCAAAATGTCTATTATTTCCGATCTGAAACTTCTACCATGTGTTACAAAATGATGTAAAATTTAAGACATTTTGAGAAAATTTTCTTTTTCTCAAAAAATCGACCTTTACTATTGGAAAAATTTCGACCAAAAATGAAAATTTCACATGCGTGTTTTTTGAGCTCAATCGATTCCTTTCGACGTAAGAAGGTCACAAACATGCTTTTATAAAGTGTTTGGGTCAATAATAAGAAAGAAATCGTCGGATAAAGATCGTGAACGCTCAAAAATCCCTTAAACTGTGCCGAAAATGTCTACTATTTCGGATCTAAAACTTCTACCATGTTTTTCAATGAGTTCGATGCATTCCTCGCRTYCRTRARYTGAAAATGATGTAAAATTTARGWCRTTTTRARAARATTTTTAWTTTTTCRAAAAATCGACMYCCACCCTTGGAAAAATWTCGACCAAAAATCAAAATTTTACATGCGTGTTTKTTGAGCTCAATCGATTCCTTTCGACGTAAGARRGTCACAARTATGCRTTTATAAAGTGTTTGGGTCAATAATAAGRAAGAAATCGTCSGCTAAAGATCGTGAACGCTCAAAAAACACTTWAAAWGKGCSGAAAATGTCTATTATTTCSGATCTGAAACTTCTACCATGYTTTTCAATGTGTTTGATGCATTCCTCGCRTCCGTGAGWTGAAAAYGATGTAAAATTTARGACATYTTRAGAAAATKTTMWTTTTYTMAAAAAATCGACCTCCACCCTTRGAAAAATTTCGACCAAAAATCAAAWTTTYACWTGCSTGTTTTTTGAGCTCAATCGATTCCTTTCGACGTAAGRAGGTCACAAATATGCGTTTATAAAGTGTTTGRGTCAATAATAAGGAAGAAATCGTCGGCTAAAGATCGTGAACGCTCAAAAAACACTTAAAATGTGCCGAAAATGTCTATTATTTCGGATCTGAAACTTCCACCATGTTTTTCAATGTGTTTGATAAATTTCTCGCGTCCGTGAGTTGAAAATGATGTAAAATTTAGGACATTTTAAGAACATTTTAATTTTTTCAAAAAATCGACCTCCACCCTTGGAAAAATTTGGACCAAAAATCAAAATTTTACATGCGTGTTTTTTGCGCTCAATCGATTCCTGTCGGCGTAAGAAGGTCAGAAATATGCGTTTATAAAGTGTTTGGGTCAATAATAAGAAAGAAATCGCGGGCTAAAGATCATGAACGCTCAAAAAACACTTAAAATGTGCCGAAAATGTCTATTATTTCCGATCTGAAACTTATACCGTGTTTTTCAATGTGTTTGATGCATTCCTCCCGTCCGTGAGATGAAAATGATGTAAAATTTAAGACATTTTGAGAAAATTTTCTTTTTTTCAAAAAATCGACCTCCACCCTTGGAAAAATTTCGAGCAAAAATTAAAATTTTACATGCGTGTTTTTTGAGCTCAATCGATTCCTTTCGACGTAAGGAGGTCACAAATATGCATTTATAAAGTGTCTGGGTCAATAATAAGAAAGAAATCGTCGGCTAAAGATCGTGAACGTTCAAAAAACACTTAAAATGTGCCAAAAATGTCTATTATTTCCGATCTGAAACTTCTACCATGTTTTTCAATGTGTTTGATGCATTCCTCTCGTCCGTGAGTTGAAAATGATGTAAAATTTAGGACATTTTAAGAACATTTTAATTTTTTCAAAAAATCGACCTCCACCCTTGGAAAAATTTCGAGCATAAAATTAAAATTTTAGATGCGTGTTTTTTGAGCTCAATCGATTCCTTTCGACGTAAGAAGGTCACAAATATGCGTTTATAAAGTGTTTGGGTCAGTAATAAGGAAGAAATCGTCGGCTAAAGATCGTGAACGCTCAAAAAACACTTAAAATGGCCATGTTTTTCAATGTGTTCGATGCATTCCTCGCATCCGTGAGATGAAAATGACGTAAAATTTAAGGCAATTTGGGAAAATTTGAGAAAATCTCCCCTTGGAAAAATTTCGACCAAAGATGAAAATTTCACATGCGTACTACTCTGTCTTTTTCTGAGATAACTGGAAACTTTTGAGAAATGATGTTCTACGACCGGAAGAACGCACTTTCATGGCCTATCCAGAAGTAACAACTAGATCTCTGTTACTCTAACGATTCTCTAAATATGAGTCATAGACTAACGGCGGTTTAACATCTCCTGAGACAATTAGCAACTAGATGTTCAATAAACTAAAAATCCAAACCAATCAAACTGAAAAAGCGGTTCATCCCTAGGAGTCTTGATCGCATTGCACCGATCTATCGGACGAGAAAAACTGGTTAGACCGGATTATCTCCCACGTTGAGTCAAAGTTGAGTGTTTGTGCTAAATACATCAGAAATTGAGGGGCAATTGATGATTATTTTTCCGCGGAGGTGGCCAAGTCGGGCGTCGCACGTCGCCTGAGACCGGCCACACTTCCACGTTCCCACGACGCGTCCCTCACCCCTCACTCGACGGACTCGCGTTCCTCGGCCCACACTAAAAGACCGGCACAAAAGATTAAAAAAGCTCACGGACGTGATGGATTTTTGTTCATGATCCGACTCTTTTTCCAGCCAGTGGCAACACTTTCAAATTTTACCAAAAAATCCCCATTTTCGTCCAAATGTGAGCCATTGAAGTGCCACAAGAACATCAACCACATCAATTCTCTAGTTCATCAAACAAGCCTAGTTGAGCCAAGGCAATGAGATTTTAGACAAACTTTCAGGAGAAGACGTTCATTCAACCTTCCAGTTCAAATGCAGTGTTTTCCAGTTGAGACCCGCACCCACTGGCTGGAACTGGAACAAACCAGTTCACCCCACCCTCAACTGGATAAACCAGTTTGGTCCAGGAAAAACCAGTTCGTTGGCGTATATAGTAGAGAAACCTACTCGAAATGCGCACGTCTATGGGTTTTGAGCAGGAATACCTACCGTGATGCTGCATGGACCATTCAGCAGGATCGGCGATCGGCAGCATCTCCGGCAGGGGGAGGGCGGGGTCACTGCAACTTGTGGAGGCCAGACACGAGCGGCAACTACTCAAAGACCGGAGGAATTCGGCTAAAGTCGGACAAAGATCAACTGGACTGAAGCATTTCTTTGCCCCAAATTCTCCTAAAGACCACCTTGCAGTAGCTCAAAGCGCGTGCAAAATAGCAAAAATTGCTCATTACAAGAGACAACTAGAAAATCGACTGTAGAAGATTTCAACTCCGCACTTAAGCTTTTCAGCTTTGAAGCACTTTTAACTCAACTCCAGATATATCTGCATCTAGATCGCTAATTAGAGTCGAATTTACCTGATAACTCAAGGGAAAAAACCCGGCTTGTATCACCCTGTGCGCAGGTAATCTCTTAACAAGACCTTCCATTAGCGGCTAATTGGATGCAGTCCGTTCTTTCCAAGAAGCGGCGATCGGGATCGGCCGAAAGGATGTTAAAGAAGGAGGCGTGGATGGCAAACCGGATAGGCGCTGTTATGGGAGTCTCTGATAATTAGCTCCAGAATTAGTCAGACTGGCAGCGAAAAAATCGGTTAAAATTCTTGAAGAACAACTGGAGATTTCCAACACTGCGCAAAAGGATCATCCTGTGCCAACAAAAAGCTATTTCAACCTCTTGGCGAACAATTAGAGCCTTTAGCTAGAGAGGACTACAAAGGACGAAGGTAAATCAGCCACTAAACACAAAAAAGAGGTTGGAGAAACAACAAGCAAAAAAGTCATCCTTTGACCACAAAAAAACTATTGAGTAACCGTTAGAGCCTTTCGCTTGAAAGCTTGATATTGGGCAAGCCAACGGCCACAAGGAACGAGAGTTAATCAACCGCTGAAGAAAAAAATGTTGAAAAACCTCGAAACCCTACACCGAGCAAAAGGACGCTAACGAAGCATCGA